AGGTTTGGAACATGGGGAGTGCATCCCATACTAGGTGGACAGAGCACCTAGAACACTGCACATTGGGATTCAAGGTTCTTTCTAAAAACCCAAGTCATTTAACAGTGCTGTAAGATTTCTCTTAAATTGTAGGCTAATTTCCAGTTACCAAAGACAGTAATTCAAGCAAGGATCTGCTGGACTGGCTTTTGTCAGTCCAAAAATCAATCAATCAAGCAAGCAAGCAAACAATTGCCCATGAGAAAATTCTGCCAGACACTAAGCAATTCATTCATTTGTTCCTGTGTTCTTTCATAATCCCTCCCTGACCCCTTCTCTCATTTGCTGAGGCTTCCATATTCTAAGCCCTGTGCCAAGCATGGAGGCTATGAGGCTATTGGAACTGCAAAGGGGACTGTGTCTGTCCTTTTCTTGTGGGAGGACAAGTCAAGACACTGTGGTAGAAAGGCCCATGAGACACCACAGAGCTGCAGATGGGGGTAGTAGGTGATGTTGAGCTGGGGGTGCAGGACTTCTTGCCCCCAGTCAAGAGGAGATATGAGTTTATTTCCCTATAGGCTGTAGCGGGACATCCTTAGTAGCTGTGACCCTGAGCCCACTTTTCTCCTTCCAGGCCTTGATCTATGGCTACCACCTCTGCCCTCTGCAGGCCTAACCATGGCTTGCCCTGGCTCTCAGGGTATAGAGGTGTACATGACTGGCATTTAAGGGTTACTTTCTCATGGGGCTGTAGTCCTAGCACTTTCCCAGACCCCATCCATACTTGGCTTTCAAGTAACCAGGGAAGCTGCTGGCCCTAGGTCAACATTCCTTTTGAAGGATGCACCACTAAACATATATGGGATAGAACATCACTAGGACATCTGCTGGACTTGGAGCTCTGGGGGTGGGCAGCACGCTGTCTGTTCACTGCTGAGTCCCTTCCTGGCACAGGCTTGGGAAGGATTCAGTAAATAGTTTCTAAGATCTGGGTTAAATGCCCATCAGACGGACTTCTTCAGCTGCATAAGGCRTACAGCACTTCACTACATAGTAAGAGGGACGGTACAGCAATGGCAAAGGCATGGAGAGGTGAAGCACTGCAGTGTCACTGTATCCCTAGTCTATAAACCTTCCCTCCTCAAACACACAGGGAAGAAGCCATACTGGATGAGAGGCGAGGATGCTGCCCTGCTCCTCAGAGGGCTGTGGAATGTGGCAGGGGCCTGCACAACTATCATGGAGCCTGGATACTCAGGGATTATCAGGAGGCCATGTCCCCCAGCTCCACTGGGAGCTTGTGGCTGAAAGGCTTATGATATTGAAGCTCTTTCCCAAATTTAAAGGAGTTTTAAATTGTCCCCCCGCTGCCCTGACTTTTCTCCAGAGGCTGAATAATGGCAGTCTTTGCCATCTTGGGGAAGAGTGAGGATAAAATGCAGGCCCATCTGAATAGGAGGCTCCTGGCTGTGGGGCCTCTGCAGGATCACTTCTCTGTGGGGTACATCTGCATGGCTGGCCCTCACCCTCTGCTCCATCATGACCCAGACTCGGTCAGAACCTATAAGGTTGAAAATGTGGAGCCACTCACCAGGGCTGAAATACAGCATCCAGGAGCTGGGTCTTTCCTATCCAAGGGGCCAGTGGGAATAGAATCCCCAAATTCAGGTGTGGACTTCTGGGAAGCTTCCTTTCACAGCACAGTCAGGAGGTGGGGAGTGGGACCTCCACATCTGGCAGTGATATCTGGAGGGATTGGGAGATAGCAATTTGTACCTTCTGGGGGTATCTGGGATGGCTTCCATCTCTGGGTCCCCAGTCTTCCAGGATGGGTCCTGGTGGGGACTCAGCCATGGTGATCAGAGGCCACATGGCAGCTCAAAGGTAAAAGATACATGAGGGACTCAGAGATCCCGAGATTGGGATCCCACCCTGGGCAGACATGAGGCCCTCACTTCCATATCCTGGTGTCAGAGTGCAACCACAGCAGGAGGGGGCCTCTGAAGCCCTCAGGGGCCATCATTCCTGCAGTGGGCCACACTAACTTGGGTTTGCATCCTGGTTTGGCAACACTGGGCATTTCAGGTGACTTCTCTGAGACTCAGTTTTCACTCCAGCACTAAGAATACAAGTGGTACTGGTGAGGCTCTTGGAAGTAGCAAGAGGTTGAAGCCTCAACAGGCTCCATGGGGAATTGGGGGTAGAAGATGTATGGTTGTCTTGGTTACAGAATCTGGTCCAACCCCTTTCTTGTAAAAGACATGGAAGCCAAGGCTGGCCAGGGGTGACCCATGTGGTGACCCTCAGGCACACTTGCCTGCATGGTCCCTTGGCACACAGTAGGGGTTTGGACAACTGATGGAGCCATATAAAAGCTCTCTCAGAATTGGTCTGGTTTCTGCCAGGTGAGGGATGGCAGTCAGGAAGGGACCCCAGGAGAAACTTGGGCCTCTGGTCCAGCAAGGGCTACAAGTACAGCCTATTGTGGCAGCCCTTACTCCTACCCTCTGCATGGGATTGAGAGGCCCTTGGGTCAGGCTCATACCAGCCAATCTACAGACCCCAGCCCAGGGTGTAGCTCCTGACCCTTAAGGCCACAATTGTCTATCACACATTTCCCTGGAGCTGGTGCTGGAAAGAGGCCTCATAAGCAATCCCAGGGGGCTGTGCTTCCCATAAAACAATTCATTATACACTTAGACTGTGAGCTGTTTTATGGCTTTGTAAACACAGATGAGCCTCTGATGCCTGATAAAAGAGGTGCTAGACTAGAACCAGCTGTGAGGCTCATTATCTTGGAGAAGCCAAACCTGCTTCTTCAAGGCCAAGTGGCCTCAGTCTTGGGTGGAAGGCAGTACCAGGGAAGCCAAGCCAGGGAAGCATCAGGCGGACACTGGCTTCCAGATGGACAGGAGAGCATGATTGCAGCATTGTGTCATTAAATGAACAACATCTGGGTGTGTCACTGATACAAGTACAGGGACCTGGGCCCACAAAATCTGTGTTGTAAGGAGGATGGTGACCCAAGAAGGTAGGTGGAGGAAAATGAAAGCAGAATGGGGCGACATGCAGGGTGGCCACACAGCCCAATCCAGCCTCTTCTGGATTCTTTATACACTAATATGGACTGCAGTCTGAGCACTGTGGGATCTGGGGACCTGGGGAAGGACAAAGGTACATACATCTGTGGGCTGAGATTCCCAGTGGTATGGGAGAAAGGCACTCCTTGCTCAGCCTCAGGCACCAGGTAGGGATTCCCAATGTTAAACCCAGGCTCCAGGCTTGAGCATGTCTGGACATGTGTGGGTGGCGGGAGGCCCTTCTGCCCCACAATCATGCTGCCAACAGGCCTGGATCTCAAATGCTCAGGTATTAGGCTTGGCCTGCAGTGGGCTCCAGCCTCCATCTGCCCACCCTGCCTTTGGGTTTCCTGTTAGGCCTGGGGCATGGTACCAACTCCTCGCTCAGCTGGCGCTTACCTGGACACTGGTGTTGACCATTGTCTTCAGCCAGCCCATGGCCTTTCTGAGCCATGTTTCATGGACCTCTAGTACCCACTCTGTATGGCCTCCATTTCTATACTCCTCCCCTGCCTGACTACCTTGTTCCCAGCATGCCACCCCATGGGACTTCTGGCCCAGATGTGCCTGAATGTGCCTCTCCAGGAGGCTGTCTTTTTTTTTTTTTTTAACTGGGAATTTAACTCAAGGGTGCTTTACCACTGAGCCACATCCCCACCTCTTGGTATTTTCTTTTTAATTTTGAGACATGATCTCCCTAAGTCTCTAAGGTTGTATTCAAACTTGTGATCTCCCTGCCTCAGCCTCCCAAGTAGTTGGAATTACAGGTGTGTGCCACCATACCCAACAGACCCAAGTCTGGGTGGTAGAGGCCTGGTAGAGCTCCGTGTTAATGCAGGAATATTCAAAGGTGAAATGATTGGATTGTGAGAGCCGTAGCTTAATCAGTCCATCCAATTTTGAGTGAGCTAACTGGAAGGTAACTGTGGGCTGGTAGGGCATGGCTGGAGGAGGCGGATTACTGTGGCTGTGCCTTGGAAGAATTCATCTTGTGGCTTGGATCCCTTCCCCCTTCTCTCTTAGCTTCCTGGCTGCCATGAATGGAGCAGTGCTCCTCCATATTGCCCTTTGGCCATGATGTGCTGCCTCACCTTGAGTCCAAAGCAATGGACTCAGCTGTCTCCTGACTGAGACCTCTAAAACTGTAAGCCCCAAATAAACTTTGCCTTTTCTAAGTTGTTCTTGTCAGGTATTTTGGTCACAGCAATACAAAATTCACTAACATACCTGGGCAACACTCACCAGGCAGAAAGAAAAAGGACCCAGAAGCACAGTCAAATATTAATTCCTGTAACCACAGACTGACCCTCCAAGCTCCCAGAACCCAGGGAGGGTAACCAACAGCCATAGCTGTACCTCTTAGTTTATAGACTATGGTTACTTGGTTTGTCTATCAGGTTGGCATGACTCCCTGGTAGGCTTAGCTCCAAAGTTCTTTTAGCTAACAGAACCTCCCCACCCACCACACATACCTGTCTCCTTTCCCCATGCTTATGTGGATCCTGATCCCACTATATCTGTGGGTTGTACCCAAGGCAAGAGCAGGAGCAGCTATGATGGTCGTCATGGCAGCCACATCCCTATTATGTTTGGCCACTGGTCAGCTTCTCAACTTGGGGCCCTGACCTTCCTCACACATGCCCAAAACACCTGTAAGCCTCAAACAGATTCCACAGTCAACTGTGGTTTCCACCAGGCAATTAAAAAGAATGTCCTCACCCAGCAATGACTGAGTAAAGGAGATGACAGAGAACAACAATGACTGGAGAGTATGGGAGGTGCTGGCTTCTGAAAATGACTTAGAGCCCTAGGAAACAGAGTCTTGGTCTGTTAAGCACCTCTGGTCACACAATTAGAGGCCACAGTGTTGCTAACAGGGAGCCCCTTGCTTTTGAGGGTCCCCTCACTTATGTCCAGATGGTGGTGGGGGTGGGAACTCACGTTGATCATAGCATTTGAAGTGATGCGGAAGAGGGTGGCCCGCTCATTCACGACCTTCAGCTTCTCACCGCTCTCAGATGGAATTCTGAGATTATCTAGTTCATTCAAGGAGCGCTGTAGTGCGGCACCATGCTTGGCAATGAGGTCATTGCACGTGCTGAGGTCATCTAACTTCAGGGAGAGGTTCTTAAGGGTGTGTTGTAACTCACTCTTATCTGCTGGGGAGGCAGTCTCTTCGTCGTCGTCTCCAGAGTCATCTGTGAAGGGAAACAGAATTGCTGATTGTCACCAATCAACATGGCCCAAGAACCAAGGAAGGCAAAGTAGGAAGCACCCCATTCAAAATCATTGTTTCCCTAGATGATGCCCAAAGCTGCTCCTGGCCAGGGTGAAGGACCTGCTCAACCCTGACCCAGCCAATCCAGGCCTACCTGAGTCAATGGAAGAGCTTAGACTTGGTTTTGGAGAGGGTAGTCTGCAGGTGCCTACATGCAGGGCACCAGCTCTCTTAAGTTGTGGCCGGTGGCCAAGGCTGGGTGGAGAGGTAGAGATTGTTCAGTGGGCACAGATATCCTCAGAACAAAGCCAAAACTCCTTTCCTGACCTTGCAGGCCCATCCAGGCTGACTGATACCTTCTTTCCCAAACTTGCTTTCTCTGCTCCAGACCTACCTATTCCTCAGTCACACCCAACTGCCTCCTGCTCCCTGCAAATGCTTGAGCTTGTTTGGGACTTTCACCCTATGTCTCTACCACCAGGAGCCTTATACCTCCTCTACTTCTTTGGGGTCTCACCCCATTCATCCCTTTGAGACATAATCCAATACTGTTCCCTTCTTCAAAGTCACCCCCAGTTCAGGCTACAATAGAAAATACCTGCTCCCTGTCTCCTCACACATCTGCCCTGGCCCATCTTCCTGCAGATTTGCACCCAGCTCTCCTGAAGAAGACGGCCACTTGCTTATGGAATGACTTCTGTGTGCAGACACTGGCTAAAAGTAGGGACTGAAGTATCCCCAGGGGACACACAAAGCAACTAGTGCTCTCAGAGGTGAAGTCATGCCCAGGCCATCTCACTAGTTCCCTCTTCACACTGGAGCTTACATCTCCTCCACCCCTTGTTGGGGCCTCCATGCAAGGGGCCAGGCAGCCCTCTGTCTCCACTCCCACCCTCCCTCTCACCTCTCAGGGCAGCTGCTCAGGAACCATCATTGCTCCTCTTCCTACTAGCCAGGAGCTGATGGGCCATGGGGGCCTCTGAGGGCAACTGGCCTGGGGCCCTGCTGCTGCCTAAATGCTTGGGACAGGATAACCAAGAGGCTGACAGCAGCCTGTGAGTCCCAGAGCTGTATCTGCTGAGAAGTTTTTGAAATCTCTTGTTTCAGAAATTATCAGCAAGGTTATTTTTTTTTCAGAAGAAAGAAATCTGTAATCTAAGATATAAAATTAAATAAAAATTTAAAAAATAAATGCATATTTTGAGAGAACAGATTTCTGCTCATGGCAGGGAAGGTGCGTGTCGGTAGACAAGGCTAAGTTGCTGTTCCAAGTGCACTGTGAGCCCATGGCAGAACCAAGCCAGCCAGCTCCATGGGCCCCAAGTAAGGGAGAGTGTCTAATGCACATCTTCCCCTGCTGGCCACAGAGAACTTGGGCCAGCATCCAGGCAGGGGGCAGGGAGCCTCCCTACCAAGCAGCCCAATCTCAACCTCAGAGTGGCCCAGCATTGGGAAACCGCATGTGCTGGGCCACCCACTTTATCCAAAGACATTCTGAAGCTCACAATGGAGGTCAGTAGATGGCAGCTCTTCCCTCCACACAGGCAATAAAATATAGGTTCCAAGTGGCCAAGCCACAGACTTAGGACTCAGCTGCTAAGGGTAAGAGCAGTGAACTGAATCCAGGACTGTCTGCCAGTATGGCTTCCTCTCTGACCTCAGAAATGCTCCACCAACTGATGTGTACTCAATCTTTCTGAGTGCCAGGCCTTAAGGAGGGTGCTGCCTCAGGTAATGCATGTGGTGACCCAGCAAGGTAGGCCTCGGGCAGAAAGGTGCATAGAAATTGCCAGGGCTATGAGGTGAGGGGACTCTGGCATCAGAGCCTGGGTTCCTGTGACCTCCCATCACTGAGATATATTGCCACCTTCCCAGCCTAACAACCAGAATGACCAGCCAACAACCAAGTAGAACAGCCACTGACTCTACGCCAGAAGAGCCACATAGGATCAGGTCTGGCTGTAGGTCAGCCTGAATGTGACTTCTGATTCTTCGAACGAGAGGAGGACAGATGCAAGTATTTAACGGAGCATCGTCCCCTGTGGCAGATCAGGAGGCTCCATACTTCTATTTAACTTGTTGTTAAATGGTATACCTTTGGAAACAGCTCTCAACGTCCAAGTTCAGGTTCCCAGAGACACGATAACATGCTTGTTCTGCTGTCATGTAGCTGGCTGTGTTGGAGGCAGGACAGGAAGAACCAGGGTCAGTGATTACTGACCAGCACAGTCCATTTACAGAGATGGGCAGGAAGAGTCCTTCCCAGAGGGGCAGTGAGATCAGGAAAATGAGGAAGGGTGGAATGAGGGGGAGAGTGAAAGAACAAATGATTGGGGGCCTGTTGGTTCTTGGCAGCTGACTAGCATGTCACACACAGGAGGGCAGGATCTGTGGATAAAGCAGGTGGGAGGGATAGGGCACAGAGATAAAGCAGGCTGGAGAGGGAGATGGTGAAGGGTCTCTGGCACAAACCCAGGGGTCTGGTCCCTTATCCCTCGGCAAAAGAGAGTGTGTGACATAAGCAGCAGTCTGTGGGAAAGATGAGATGGGCGGCAGGTGGCATAGTGGACAGACTAGAGGGATAGAGAAGCCAAAGATATGTAGGGCCAAGGCCAGGGTGGCCACATGAGGTCAGGGGCTGGAGAAAACAGAAGGACTGGACTTGGGCAGAGAGGACCCTGAAACCAGCCATACACATGGACAGTAGCCCCACCCAGCTCCAAGGCCATGACTAGTACAGGCCATACTCCTATACAATTCCTGCATACCTGCCATCCCTGGAGTGGGGGTGGTGGCACCTACGCCCCACATTCCAACAGCAAGACTAAGGTTGTTCAAATGCATGATGGTGTGACCCATGTCAGCCTGAGCAGACTCAGAACTAAAACAATGTTCTCTAGGAAGGTGACCTCTGGCCACACTGAGTCCAGAAGTTTCAGGTCCAAGTAAGGGAACCTCACAATGAGGAAACCCACATTGGAAAGATAAATAAAATAATTATCTCTTGGTATCTTTAGTGGACTGCTTCCAGAACCCCCGAAGATACCAAAATCCAAGAATGCTCAAGTTCCTTATTCAAAATGGCATGGTATTTGGGTACAACCTAAACGGATCCTCCTTATACTTTAAATCATGTCTAGATACTTATTATTTCCAAATAGTTTTAATCTGTGTTTGGTTGAATCCTCAGATTTGGGACCAATGAATAGGGAGAGCTGACGGTGTTAGGGGCACAAATAAAATCTATTTAATGTGACAGTCCTCAGATTAGGAAAAAGACCGGCATTGTTAGTTTATGCTTTCTGAAGGACAATCTCACAAACAGCCAACAAGAGTCATGAAAATAACTTTGTGGCTCCCATCCCCCACTTCTTCTCTTATGAGGATCTCTACTGGGAGGGAATTTATTCCAGAGCAAAGAAAACACTTGGATGTATGAAGTTATTTAGGGCTGCAGTTCTCAAGCTTATGGCCTCAGGGTTCTCAAGYTTTCATGACCCCTAGACCCTCTCTGTTCTCACATTTCACTGGGAAAAATACTCAGGGATATAGAGTACCCTGGAGAGACAACAAGTATCTGATTATTACAAAGAAAACTAAGATCATCAACACAGAAAATGCTAAACTACCCACTAACATAAAATTCAACAGAAATTTTGCAAGTGCACTAATACAAGAAGAGGAGCAAGATAGCAAAGAGATCTAGGGCCAGGTCAAAGTCACCCCCATGGGGCTGGGTTCACAAAGCAGCCCTCCCAACCACTCTGGAAAGTCCCCAAACATGCTCAAAAGCAGGCCATGTCACGCTGCCCTGTGGAGGTATAAAAATGAGGAAGTAGGAAGGGGATGCTTGAAGGCTCCGGTTCTCAGCTCGCATTCTGCTCTGCTGCTTTCATGCGTCTATCTCCCTTTTAAGTATCTGTTTCTCAGGTGCATAGCAAGGGCTCCAACCCCCATCTCACCAGTCTGAGAAGGATCTATGGGCTGGGTGGTCTGCATAAGTTGGAACTATCACCACCAATGGCATCCTGAATGCACTGCCTCTCCACTAACCTTCCAGAGAATGCCAGTCCTTTTAAGAAACAATGGAAGCAGGAGGTCTATTTGGACACTTCTGAGAAGAAAAAGGTTTCATCACCCCGGATGCAGTGCAGGATGGGGCATGGCCCCAAATGCATGTGGGAATGAACCAGCAGATCCCTGGCAGGYGGCACCTCTGGAAAAGATCCCATGAATAAGCCAAGGATAGGGAGCTGGGAAAGTGGCATTTTCCTGAAGGGCTGCTGCTGAGAGGGAGACTGGCTGGGTGGTGAGATGGCCTTAGGCCCACAGTCACAGGTACCATCAGTCAGCCCTACCTATCTCAGAGCTACTATGGAGAGCATCAGAAAAATGTCCCCTATCCTTTCCAGAGCCTGAGCTGTCCTGTTCTCCAAGGAATGGATGTAGGAGTGAAGAGAAGGCCACTGACTCTGGAGCCCCAGGCTAGGTGTAAAGCCCAGGCAACCCCACCCCTACTGTGGTGTCCTCATCAGACTGCCAAGAGCCTTATCATTTCCTGGCCAGCCAGGAGACCTGGCCCCTCCTCAACCCTCTAGCCCTCAGGTGGGCTCGGCCCAGGCAGCAGTCACAGCCCTTCTTGCTGATGCACACAAATCCCCAGATAGGGAGGACAGGATTCAGAGCTGCTTCTATTATATTCCCCCATTGGAATGAAGATGGCTCAGGTCACTTACAATCCTCCTAGGGAGGAAGGTTTTCTGGCTTTGGAGTTACCTACTTCTCTGGGCTTCTCCTGCAGTATCTGTGACATAGAAATCATTTTGTTCCCTGCTGTCTGTCTCTGTTCAGAACTGTGGAGTTTGCAGGGAGACAGGCACTGACCCTTGGATAAGGGACAACTATCCAACAGTGAGGAGGATTAGCAGGACAAGGGTGATGGAGCTGAGCTGGGTCCTGTGCAGCACATGGGCCCGGACT